AGTTAAAGTCATTACCTGAACGCATTCACACCCTCACAGCCCTTCAATATTTGGATATAAGAAATCTTCCAAATCTGGAGTCAATTGCAGAAGATGGAGGTTTGCCTCCCAACCTCCAACATTTTCCTATTGAGAATTGTGAGAGACTGAGGGCTTCATCTTCATCAGTGGTAGATTGCTCTAACTGGGCTTTGCAAGCACTTGTCTCCCTTAAATACCTTAAAATTGGTGGCAGGGGAAGTGATGAAATCTTGGAGACGTTGCTCAAGCAACAGCTGCTCCCTACCACTCTTCACTATCTCCGCATTGAGAAACTTTCAACTCTGAAATCTTTGGATGGAAAGGGACTTGCACACCTTACTTCTCTTCAAGAGCTATATATTTATGACTGTCCGAGTCTCCAATTCCTGCCAGAAGAGGCACTTCAACACCTCACTTCTCTTCAAACTCTAGCTATTGGTGGGTGTGACAGTATTCAATTCCTGCCAGAAGAGGGTCTGCCGCCATCTCTTTCTTATCTGAGCATCTCCAATTGCTCTGCCCTGAAGAAAAGGTATGATAATAAGACGGGACAAGATTGGGCCAAGATTTCTCACATTCCTTGCATCACGATAGACGAAGAAGTGATCATATGATTTGAGCTCTCTCTCACATAGAGACAAACAAACTCAGGTCAGCTATCTACTTCAAATAACCGCTTTAACTGCTTATCCTTCTAATGGAAGTATGTACTTCAAATAACCGCTTTAACTGCTTTTCCAGAAAAACACACAAAAACTCAATCATTCATCAATTACAAAATTTTCTTAGTGAATTTCTCTGTTTTTAGATTTGTTCATGTTATAAATGTTAGGATGTTTAATTTCTCTCCTTTTCTCTGTATTAAATTGTCATAGTGCTACTGTATTTAAATTTCGTTCATGTATTGTTAGGATGTTTAATGTCTGTTTTGAGTTTCTGTTAACTTGTCCCCTGTTTTGTAATGTTTTTTTTTTCCTTCTAATGGAAGTATGTGTCATATCAAAAAGAAAAAGTTTTGATCCATACTTATTGCTTATTTTGAACTGAAAAAGCCTACTTTTGACATAGGCACAATGGCACAAAACTTGCATTCGTACTTCCGTCCCAATTGGAATGCCGTCTCATCTTCTGTATGATTATGCATATGATTGTGTATATGATTGCATTCGTACTTTTGACATAGGTCCAGCTGCTGCTTCATTACCTAGTAGCTTTATCTATATGATTGTGTAGATATATGCATATAATATCTCATCTGCAAATGAATTTTTTTTTCCGTCCCACAAATCATTCCTTCAGCTACAAAGTTCTAATTGATGAGACTTGAAATGTTGGATGTGCACTTGCAGACTTGAGAAACTTTCCCATGTTTGGAGGTCAAAGCAACTTGTGTAGGCAACCATGCCCGAGGAGAGTTTACCATTGTATATGGATTTTTGTTTTTCTACAAACAAATTGCGGCAAAGAAGGGGAAGGAAATGTTCTCAAGGTGGAGCTCTAGCAAGAGACCAGCATTTGGACAATGTGGTAAACGGATCTCAATCAAACATAACAATCATCACTGTCCATTCATGATTAGGTAATCTTTCATCATAAAATTCCTTTCCCTACGTAATAACTTGAAAACGCCATTTATGAGTAAACGTCATTTATGAGTTTCCTTTGAGATGGATGAAAATGCGTACATATGTATGAATAACCTGCGAGAGCTCAAGTTCTAGGACAGACGACGTTGAGGAAACTCCATGCTTGGCTGCAAATATCACTGTTTAGGTCTTGAACAATGCTATGATTTTCCTCCGGTTAGGGAATCACATAACTTCTGCAATGAATATTAATGCTGCACACTTTATTAATGACTTTTTTATTTAGACGAAACATTTTTTATTGAAAAAAGGTAGTAAAATACCACAGAAGTGAACAAGTACTCGTCCACCACAGAACAGGAACTATAAGAGCTTTAACAAAGAAATTATCATTGAGCTGACTTCCATCCCTAAATTGTGATTAAACCAATGCTCAAGGTGAAGAAGATAGGAACCCCTATTCGGAATCTCTTCCATCCCCAACCCCTTATAATTGTCGAAAACCCTCCTATTCCTCCCCTTCTGATGTTAGCCAACTCACTCCAGCCTTCCTGAATAATACATACCACAAATTTGAGATACCGGGTAGTAAACAAACAATTGGTCTGCACTCTCCATTTTCATCTTACACAAAATGAACCAACTTGGAGAACTATAGGAATTAGGTCTCCTTTACGCAGCAAATCACACGTATTCACTTAATTGGTCTGCCCTCTCCCTGATTTATTTTGCTTCCCCATTGTCGTAATAGATAACATCCATGCCTTCTCATCTGATTTACTCATTTGCCAGAATGGGAGGAATGAAGAACAGAAGGCCGGTGTCCAGATTTTCCTCATCTCAAGGAGCTGACTTTAGACGAGTGTGGGGTTCTACATGATGAAAGGGCCACTACTACTCGTGACATGGACTACTTATCTCTTGAAGAATTAGAAATATACAATGGATGCCCAGGTCTGTTCTCGTTACTAGAGACAAAGTTCCTGTTCGTGTTCCTATTTGATACGATGCCATTTCCAATTCAAAAACTTTTCAGGTAGGTTAAGAAAGTATTACACAGCTAGATGTTTATAATTCAAATTCAAAACAAAGCACAATTGGATTCACATAATCTACCTAATTGCCGTGCCAGTGATTATTTCTAACAAGCAACTGAACCTTTGCAGAAGATCTGATGCTTCATTATAACATTTGATAATTGAATATGCATCTTTCAGTGTCGTCCCCGTCACTGTTTCCCTTTTCAGTTTTTAGCGTATCAATTAGTCTATTTTCTTGTACATACTTGTTGGTTGGAAATTAGTTTGTTCATATTCTAAGACGAATCTAACGATCCAATTCTCAATGTCTTGAACTTAGGAGTATCTTGTTGACCTGAGATATGCATGAAAATGGAAAGCAATTGAGTTGAAATCCTCACTGGCTTTTCAAAATCTGATGAGGAACAAAAGTATGAGAAAACACGTGAAGGTAAAATTCTGTTGATCCTTTTCTGTGCCTTTCACTTCCGAAAGGTTTGCTTGTTGCAATTATTTGAACTACAGTTCCATTTCATTAGAATTGTTTTCTTTGTTGTATCTCTAGATTCTCTGCGTAAGATTCCCAATGGGAACTACCCCAACCCCGACGACAAGCTAAATCTTTCAAGCACTGCATGCTCTTTTAAGGTAGAATGAATGACCTTATCATCTTCCAACAAACTCAAGAAATGCATACTCTGATGAGTTGAAGTTGAAGATTTCGAGAAGGAATGAAAGCTGTAGCAGAAAACATAGGGCTGAGATCTCTCCAAGGTATTGCTCCACTCTCTCACAATCTCTGTTCCTTGTATTATGAAGCTTACAAGATTACTAATTACTGACCATCATCACATGATCTTGCAGGTGATTGTGGGGAGGTTTGCCAATTGACCTTAGTGAAATCAAAAAACAAATGTAAGTTTGCTTTTATATATTTGAAAGTTGGCACCTTTGTTTATATTCTTAGCACTAGACCGTTGCTCGGAACGACCCCCACACAAACAACACCCAAAAATAGAAAAAAAAACAATCTCATAGTTATCATAATAATATGCTTTTGTATTAGCTCTTTGATCGGAGCTATCTTGTCCTGCAGATAGTTCATTTGTGTTTGGAGGGGCGGTCTTCATCTGATCTGACCACATGGAAAAGCTCTCTTTGTGTTGACGAAGAATTCTTCATCTCAAACTGATGTTAAACCTGGGGGGCACGTCCTCGTTTGGTTTTCTTGCAAGAAAACTTTATCGGATGATGATGAAGTTGTTGAAAGTTACTTTCTATGTAATGCCATATGCAGCCAGTTTGTTGGCCTTTGTCTACGAATCCTTCAAATACAGCCATGGATTGTGCACTTAAACCTGTTAAAGCTCGTATTGTTGAAGTTCAATTTCCTCTTGTCCCGCATTGAAAGATTATAGCTTTGTCTATGAATACTTCAAGGACAGCCAGTTTGATACTGATTGTTGTTTCCAACAAAAGCTTTGTCTCTGCACATTATAGCTTATTCGTCGAATGTTACATATACCCAATGTTTCCATACATTTCAAGAATTTTGACATGCGAACGGTCATTGAAGTTCAATATGAAATCTTCTGAGGTTGTCTATGCTATGGGATGAGCTGCTCATGTTACCATTATTTCTATGTTCTGTTACCATTATTCCCTTCTCTTCCTTGCTTCCAAGACAAGCATAATAGTGGCCTCCACTTAAGCAAATTAGAAGACACTTTGGAGTTGGGAAATTAAAAGTAGAATGCTACATGCACAACTGATAATAACATCTCTCTTAAAAATTTTGAGCGTTAACAAGTAAATGAACATGCACTCACATTTTATTTGCATTGTTGTGCATGGAACTAAATTGACACTGATTTTATTTTATACCTTCTCTTTCTTATTTCCATGAGTTAATGCATGTTTTGCTTGCTAACGCTCAACAATTTTAAGACAAATGCTATATGATTATACCAAAGTTTTAATTTGTAGAAATGTTACCTGAACTTATACCACAGTTTCAATTTGTCACCTTAAAGAAAAATTTTAGAGAAATGTTACCTTAATATTTCAAAATCCATGATTTGTCGTCTGACTTTAACACCATCCAATTTTCTATATATTTAAAGGGTATTTTAAACATGGAAAATTCATTATAACAAAAATTGTATATCTTTTAAACAATTAAAATTGAAAAAAATGAATAAATCGCCTTCCCCCATCCCCTGTGTGCCACCGGCAACTCCAACTGACCTTGCCCACCTTGAAATCCATTCCCCCTTCCCTCTACCCTCTCCTCCTTCTCTCTCTACTATGGCACACCTACCTTTTACACACAAATTCCCCCAGCCCACCCAAACTGAGTCCACCTTCTTCTTCTTTTTTCTTTTAAAAAATTTTAGACATGCTCAATGAACACTACAAAAAAATTTGGACATGCTCAGAGAGAGAGAGAGTGGAAGGAGAAAGAAAGAGACGGGAGAGGGAGGAGAGAGATGGAGAGACGGGGGAGGACAAAGAGAGAGAGACAAGAGAGGGAGGAGGTAGAGAGTGTGGAGACATTAAAAAAAAAACTATAAAACTATAAAATTAAATATTTTTATTTTATTTTTAACTAGCCTCTTCGTACGCTCTTCCGCACCTACGAGAGGCTTTTTTTCTTTAAATTTAAATTTATTTTAGAATTAAAAACAATAATGGGTAGTTGTGTTCCATAAAAAAATGATCCATTATCTGATTTTTCTTTTAATTTTAAATTTTTTTAATATGAAAAAGTGTGAATTTACCATATTATCCTTATTTAATTAATAATTTTAATTCTTGCATTAGCCAAGGGCATTTTCTGGTATTTTGAATGTTTCACCATTCTCTGCCTTTTGCTTTCTATATATAGATAATGGGGGTGTTTTTGAGTTTTTCTTGGGTTTGCGTTTTTAAATATGGGCCTACTAAATAGGTTTTTATGGCTTTGGACTTAAAATTTGTTTTTCAATTTATAAAATTAAATCCAGATAAGATACCAAACAGACCCTAAACATGTCATAAGTTTTTATTTTGTTCCGAACAAAAAGAGAGTTTTTTTTTCGTTGGTTTGGGTTTTTATTTTAGAAATTTAGTGAAATACCCATTCCTAGACATAAAACTATAAATATACCATATACCATTCATTATATATAAACACACC